TGTAAAAGATAGAGTGGTGTGTAAATAATCTGTGTAATTCGGTCACACAGTTACGACTTTTTTTTTAATATTTATTAAAAGTGAACGAAAAAATTTATAAAAATATTATAATTAACGTTATCTTGAACGTTTTAAATTCGGTACAAAAATCTCGCGCGCGCCGTGGGCGGCGTTCACGCGCGTGCGCCGAGGGCGGCGCTCACGCGCGTGCGCGGGCCCGGCGCTCCCGCGCGCAGGCCGTTCATTATCGTTAACTTTTAGGGCAGCTAGTGCTTTAGTGCTTTATTACATGAACTATCAACGTAAAACTTTTTGGAAATTAAAGTTTAACCCTTTCTTTAATGGTCTCTAAATCCCAGTCCGATACGTCCAATAGTTAATTAACAATTAACGTCATAAAATAAAGTTATCTTGGGATCAAAGAGGCGTCGGTGATTTCTCTTTTTTTTTTTAATTACCGTAAAAATAAGTTCAATTTAATGCAAAAAGAGCGAATTCCCGAGCGGCTTTTGCCTGACCCTGGAACAATAACGCTGTTTTGCACGTCCTATTTTGTATTTTTTTTAATTATGGTTTTATTCCTCTTAACGATGTCAAATTAAGAATTACTATTGAAATTTTTTCCCCGGAATTTAAAATACCCTGTAGGGTGCGTCAGCTAAAATATGGAATGTGTACGGAAACGTAACTGCATCTTTTCCAAATAATTTAAGGTTTAGATGTATAATACTATCAACAATAAAAAAATCGGTGCAAATCAATAACAAGAACAAAGAAGAAAAAAATTACAAATACTTTTAATAACACAGTTCTGCAAGGTTTTGTTCTAGAGCAGGTGAGGGTCATTTCCGAAGTAATTTTTTGCGTAGATTTCGAATCGTACCTCAGAATTGTTCCATCACATCACGCTTCCGAGATATCCATAACCTAAAAGTGCGAAAAGCGCTGTTTTTTGCTATATTTAAACTTATATTACATCGCGAATTTTTTTTTCTGAAACCGAGTAATGTCATCTAAACGTAGAACTCTTACCCTTCAAATTTCCGTTTTCAAATTTGAAAAGCTTTTTTTTTCTCGGAGATGTTAAATGAAGTTTAGTACTTTATCGATTTCATAACAGCAGTATCAAAATTGAAAAATGTTCTTCGGATAGCGAATGATATACATTCTTAGGTTAGGTAGCCTAATCCAAATCTTACAATTATTCAAGCAATCAAGGGTTCTGAAATTTCGTAACCTAAAAGTACAAAATTTACAATTTACATCTGAACTGTCGGCATGAACCACTATATGCTGTAATCAAGCACAATATAACCTGCAAGCGCTACCCCCACTACAGGTTAACCTAAGTGCACAATAACCTGCTAACCCTACGACAGGTTAACCCGTTGTGGGGTTAGCAGATTATAATGCTGTTGGGTTAACCTGTCGTGTGAGTAGCAAGTTATTGTGTTCTTCGGTTAACCATTAGAAATAAAAAGAATCTTTTTAACGTTTCTTAGCTACATTGTATTTAAAATTGTATTTTCAACAAAAAATTCCTATATTGTTTTTATGAGTATTGGAATTATTTTCAACTTATTCAAGTATGTCACAAGCTTACTATAATAATAATAACTGAGAAACAACTCGTTTTCCAAATAAGATAAAAGAAATATTTTTCCTTAGAACCGTAATTAAATGCCCAATTTCCAAATATTCAGTGTCGTTGAAATTTCCCAGTATCTCCGCCACTGGTCAACAGATTTATGTAGTTACTCAGCAAATCATTAGTTAAGTCATTAGCCCAAGTTTCATGAATTTCTAACAAGTATTTTAATAGATATTTAAATACATGTGATGTATTTTTGAACACCCTGTACCTATATCAAAAACGATGCATATGTTTATAACTTTTTTAATTGATTTGTGACTTAGAATCCACTACTAAAGTTTGGCAGGGTTCATCATTAACACCCTGTATACAGGTACAATATTCAAAAACCAATTGTACAGGGTGATTCACTATATTTTGACCCCCCTTTAACTTTTTTGTTGTAAGAGTTAAAAAGTAAAAAAATGTAAAATACAAAAGTTGCACGATTTTTTATGAATTTTTCGAAAATGACATTTAAAACACAGATGAAGTCCAAACAAAATGTCCGCTAATGTTAACTTTGTTAATTTAAATGGAACACCCTGTATATTAGCATATTTGAATAGAACGTTCCTTGTCGAGCATAGTGATATAGGGTTTGTTGGGTCCATCTCTAACAATAAGCGAGAAACTATTAAAAAAAAGGAAAGAATGTTTTTTATTAAGAAAATAAGATATCTTATAATAATTGTCATACCTCTTTCAGGCACTTCTGCCTTTTTTCCAATTACGTAAGGATTTACCGATTTAGTTGTAATATATTTTGACATGTCGGACATTGATATGGTCCAAAATGCGTATACAGTGTCGGAAAGTCCCCATGGTTCATCGGCCGTTACGTGAGAGCGATAAAGTAAGTCATAGTAAGTCAAGAAGTGGATCTTATTTGTGGAAGGGCGAAATGGGCGGTGACTATTAGAAGCCTTCATTATAGCCATCTTTCTCTATCGCACGGATTTCTATGACTTTCTTTATCGCTCTCACGTAACGGCCGATGAACCATGGGGACTTTCCGACCCTGTAGGTACTCTAACTACCTAAATCTCACGAATTAGTCCGTGAGAGGCCTAATTATTCATGGACAATGTTATATGGTAGGCCATGACAGTGACAGGTAAAGTCATGATAACATTGTTATTGATTGACAGTTTGTATTATTATTTAATTAAAATAGGTTACTAGTCCAATTAACTAAGCCTTTAAATCGAAATTTTGCCAACTTGGCTGAATTTTTGATATGAGTTAGTTTAAGGTATATTATAACAATAAGTGAGAGTAATTTTTTGTTCAACCCCCGGCCAAGGGTGGAAAAAGATAAAACAAAGGGCTTTTTCAAGATAACTCAAAAAGGGTAAGAGCTAGAAAAAAAAGTTTTTCATGAAAGTTGTAAAGCAGACAATTCTACATAAAAATGGCCTCTTAACTTTTTCTTGTACTATTACAATTAACAGAGTTAGGGAGGCTAGAAGTTAAGGGAAGATTTCAGAAATTTAAAAAAAATCATAACAAACAGAAAAATGATTGAATTTTGTAATTTTTTTTTTCAATCTGCTCTAAAATATGTAACTTTTCTTTTCAGAGAAATAGATATATTTTTTAATTTTTAATAAGAAAGTTATAACAAAAAATCAAATTTTTAATCGTTAATTTTAATGATTTAACAAAATTAAATTTCTGAAATCTTCCCTTAACTTCTAGCCTCCCTAACTCTGTTAATTTTAATAGTACAAGAAAAAGCTAAGAGACCATTTTTATGTAGAATTGTCTGCTTTACAACTTTCATGAAAAACTTTTTTTTCTAGCTCTTACCCTTTTTGAGTTATCTTGAAAAAGCCCTTTGTTTTATCTTTTTCCACCCTTGGCCGGGGGTTGAACAAAAAATTACTCTCACTTATTGTTATAATATACCTTAAACTAACTCATATCAAAAATTCAGCCAAGTTGACAAAATTTCGATTTAAAGGCTTAGTTAATTGGACTATACACACCAGTAGAAAATTGAAATATTATTAGGAATTAAAATAGAGTATGGAGAAAATCTTTACTCTATTTGAATTCCTAATAATATTTCTACTTCTGTTTAACCTATTTTAATTAAATCATAATACAAACTATCGATCAATAGCAATGTTGTCATGACATTACCTGTCACTGTCACAACTTACCATATAACATTGTCCATGAGTAATTAGGCCTCTCACGACCTAATTAGTGATATTTAGTTAAAATACCTATACGCATTTTGAATCATATCAATGTCCGATATGTCAAAATATATTACAACTAAATCTGTAAATTCTTACGCAATTGGAAAAAAGGCAGAAATGCCTGAAGGAGGTCCAACAATTACAAGATATCTTATTTTCTTAATAAAAAACGTTCTTTTCTTTTTTAATAGTGTCTCGCTTATTGTTAGAGATGTACCCAACAAACCTATATGACTATGCTTGACAGAGAACGTTCTATCCAAATATGTAAAAATATACAGGGTGTTCCATTTAAATTAACAAAGTTAACACCCGCGGCCATTTTATTTGGACATCATTTGTTTTTCAAATGTCATTTTCTAAAAATTCATAAAAAATCGTGCAACTTTTGTATTTTACATTTTTTATAACTTTTAATGGGCGGAGGGGGGGTCAAAATATAGTGAATCACCCTGTACCTGTATAGAAGATATTATCACGGTTTGCTTCAAGTAGACTTCATCTATTTCAATTGGCGGACCTTACAGTTTATTTAAATTTTTTCGGGCGAGGAAAAAACTTAATCTTTTTATACTTATTATATGATTTTGAAGAATGAGAAGCATTGTACTTTGTTATTTTACACCTAATATGCTGTCTGTATAATAACATATATTAGATATAAGATTAGGGGTTATAAAGATAAAGAGGCTGAATTTTTGGAAAGGTCGGCTAAATGATTTATCATTCACTTTACTGTTGAATAAAATAGTTTTGGCAGACAAAAATTTGTTTAAAAAATCAACTTCCGATTGGCATGCTTGGGCAGGAGGTACTATTTGTTTATTTTTTTAAAGAAAACCTATGAAGTACTTCCTAGATTTTATTAGTACGTCAATTACTAGTTCCAATTCTACACCTCTTAAAATGCACAACAAAATATAACGTCACTACACCAGAGTACCAGAGCAAATCGGACAATAGACCGCGAAATCTTTTGTTGCTCAATAAAATACACATTATAACGACTAAGATTTGCTACGGCATAGGCGGGGAACGTCATACACCATTTCAATCACTAGACCCTTCGCATTCGCCAAATACGACAATAGTAACTTACATAACGATTTGATTTCAAAAATTCACATTGTTAAGTACAAAAACAGACACATACTAACCATTTTTATCAGGCATCTAGAACCGTATAAGTGCTAATTGAAAAGATTACCGGTCCAGCACGTTATTAGAGTTAATATTTCCCACTTAACACTAGCACTAACTCATCTTCGCCTTTTTACTTCTGTTGCAAAAAAAACACAACACACTACACCAACTACGATACTAACATCACTAAAAAATTGTCCCGTCAAATAGTCGATGCTTGATTCGTGGCTGGAGCTTACAAGACTAAAACCACTTGTGAAATACTATCCTTTGTATTATCATTTATTATCAAAAGACATTGGCGTGCTCGGGAGAGTAGGTACGGGATTTTTCGATGTTCTTCTCCGGACGGCGCGATGCTTACTGTTCTGTTTCTGAAGCAAAATTTATCTCAGACTGATAACTGGATAGCAGTGGATACTGAAAGTGGAGTTGTTATCGATAATGTTTCGTTTAGATGACAGATACAGTGCGATACAAGTACGTTTTTGTTTACTCTATGGAAAATAATTATACGAGTAAGTTACATCGTTTACTTGATTGTGTTTACATAGTCCAATTGGGCGGTTAAGGTTGTGTTGGTATTCTGCAAGGTCCAAGTTCAAGGCCGGTATGCATTGGATTTGCGAACAAATTAAAGCAATTTCAATTCAACATTTATCTAAGTGCTAACCAATAAATATAGGCTTTAAGAGTTCGAAGGTTAATTCTTAGAAAAAATTCCATTAGTGTGGCAAATTATAATTTTATATACAGGGTGAGTCGGGAGAATTGCACCAAACTCGCATTTTACAAGTAAAAATAATAAAAAAAAAACTCAAATGTTCTTATGCGCTTTTCATTTGTTTTCAAGCTATGACGTAGGTTTCAGTAAAAAATTAATTTATTAATCAGTGTTATTTGATTAAATTGAACCACCATTGACCTGTAAACACCTTCTGCTTTAAGTCTACGAAGAGCGTTTATAACTCTTCTGATTGCTACATGCCTTTTTTAATAAATACTGCAGGATTGATGATACGTCGAATTAATGCCTTCCGAATGTTCACTCTTACTTTGTACAGTTCATATTTGAACCAGACCCATAAACAGTAATCTAGTGGTTTGAGGTCTGGAGATCTTGGAGGCCAAGTAATAAGAGCAATGAGTCCAGTCTCTCGTTCGAATGTAAGTTGACTGGACGAGTGAAATGTGCAGGAGCTTCATCGTACGCTAATATATTCGCATTTTCATGTTTATAGGAACATCCTCTAGTAGTACTTGTTGCGTGAAGATTTTCGTCTGATCGTACCTGAGAGTATTACTCTTTTTTGTGGAATCCGTTGACGTTATTCTTCAACAGCAGCGTTAGCATTCTCATTACAAAAACCATAAACAAATACCATATTTGTATACTCTCACATTGAATAAGTTCTAGGGACTTTGATCGTTCAAACGTGTAATCAAATGTTAAACTATTGGAACATGACATATTCTGATTTCAAATTTTTAAAATTTGTAGTTACGCTATAACTTGAAAACTAATGAAAATCGCATAACATTTGAGTTTTTTCTTATTATTTTGACGTCCATTCTTGGAGTTTAGTTCGATTCTCTCGACTCACCCTGTATATATACAGGGTGTCTCACGGTGAGGGCCCATTCGAATTATTTCAGAAACTACTTCGATTTGAATTTTGAAAATTTGGGATACCGGGTTTTCGGACATGCCCTTCTCAACTAAAATAATGTCCACGTACCACTTCCGGTTATACCGGAAGTCGTCATCAACTTGCTTATTTTAAATGGGACACCCTATATATTATTGCAATTTTGGATTCTACGTGTTATTTTAGGTGGACTTTTATGAAGTTTCTCTATTCCTAAAATTAACCGTTTTCGAGATATTTAATTTTTTTCAAAAAAATGGAGAGAACAGTGACTAGCTTCAAACAATGTGTATTTTAAAAAATTTTGCTAACAATTCCACAGCTATCTTGCAAGAAATTACATCATTTTAGGCGATTACACAAAAAATAGTAGATTACTTAAAAATTAGAAGAGATAGGTATAGGGAACCCTGATACCGTTCGAAAGAGAATAAAATTGTGTATCAGAATATAGAAAAACATACAGGGTGTTTCATTTAAAATAACCGACTTATGAAGGTTTGAAGTTAACTATTTCTAGCACCCTGTAAGCCACTTTGAAAATATGGATGGGAAGCTTAGGGGTCTAGCTATTCCCCTATAAATATTGTTGCTTTATCTTTGTTACTATAAAATACACATGGTTTGAAGCTAGTCACTGTTTCCTCTCCATTTTTTTGAAAAAAATTAAATATCTCGAAAACGGTTAATTTTAGGAATAGGGAAACTTCATAAAATTCCACATAAAATAACACGTAGAATCCAAAATTGCAATAATATACCTATAGGATGTTGCATTTAAAATAAGCAAATCGATGTCGACTTCCGGTATAACCGGAAGTGGTACGTGGACGTCATTATTTTACTTGAGAAGAGCATGCCCGAAAACCCAGTATCCCAAATTTTCAAAATAATCGAAGTAGTCTCTGAAATAATTCTAATGGGCCGTTCATGAATAGAGTTCGGGACTCAGTCGGATGATCATAGCCGTCGCGTCGGCCTTTCGCTACAGCGCACCATACGAAAGCAGTAATAACGGCAGTTATTGGCTTCGCGTTTGCTTCGTGTACACATATTTTAATATTCTAATAATGTCGAACGCGCCAAGGGGTAAAAACGACCTTTCGCTGATAAAATAGGCAAATTTATTTATTTTTATTTATACCTACGTGTTTATTTTGTTTACGACGCACACGCCTATGACTACCCGACGAAAACTCCGAACTCTATTCATGAATACTACTCTAAATGGGTACAAAGTAATATAAAAAAAATCTGGAAAATTAAAGATAGTCAAAAACAAACACCAGAATGAAAAAATTCATTGTTATACAATTATTTAATGAAAATATATATCCTTGTCCAGTTATTTTTTTAAGGTATTATTATTATTATTATTAAACACGAACCACTAATTATTTAAAAGACATATTATTTAATCAGATCCATAAAAAACCCGAAACCAATTTAGTCTGATTTACATCAAAATTCTTACTAATAAATCCATATTTAAAACTCATGTATGAACAGAATTTAAATGAAGCAATCTATTCCTGGGCATAACATGGTGGGAAATACCTACATGTTTATATTTTTAACACTTAATAATTATTATCATTATCAAAACCAAAGTATGAAATTTAAAAACAAGTGATGATAATTTTATTTTGTCTCACTAGAATATGGTACGGAGGTCAACTAGAGTTACATTACCAAACACCTGATTAATGCAGATTATGGAAAGTTACAAAATATTCTTTATTAAGTAATTGTACTTAAAAATTTTTAATTAAAAATATAAACAATTTCACTGCAAATATTAATTTTCAGAACCGTAAATAGCGCTGATCAAAAGTTCACTAAGAAAATTTTCTATGCTTATTACACTAATATACTTTGCGACATACAATTATTACTTCTTATCCTAATTCTGGGTCAATAGATAATAACAAAGAAAAATCGCAATAATTTGCACTTTAATGAGGAACAAAATAAACAAGTATTAATTGGTGTTATCCGGTTGTCCGTAATTGTAGTAGCTGAACATATCGAAATCTATTATATATTCTTTTTGACTTATCAGTTTCAATAATACATACTTATCATCGGGGTACAATGGCCTTGTGAACTGAAGATAAAATAATCCATTGGCGGACGATTTTTTTTTAATTTTATGTTTCACTGTACGAACAAAATTTATATTTTTCGTAGAATAAAAGTTTTTGTACTTATGAGCGTACAAAATAGCATTGTAATATTTAAAAAAATATATTTGAGCAAGTTAGTAATGATAATTTCTTTATAGAAAATAATGTTACGAATATTAAAAAGTATACATACGAATTAAAAAAAACAAGTTAAAAAACTTTAATTCTCGTATACAGTGTGTCCAAGATAAGGATAGGATAACATTAGGATCTAGGAAACGTGTTTTTATACCTAACAATATGCCGTTTAGAAAGTTTTAAAATTCTGGGTAGTTCAGGAGATATCCGGAAAAACCCGAAATTTTGCAAAATCGTTTTATTTTTCTTCTGGCTTTATTTGAAAATGATTTTTAAAATAAATTGCATATTTACATTGCCACTTTTTTCACTCTATCCAACGGCGTCAACATTTTTGCAATCCGACCTTTTGTCTTCGAGGGGACATCATCAGGTTAATTTTTTTAAATACGTCGCTGCTATTTTTATGACAAAATCTAGTCATTTTTAATTTTCAATTAGATGATATTACTATTGTAATCACTTAAACAGGTATTTAGCTTGTTTTAGCTATCATTTAAAATTTTTCCGGAGTACGGATCTGAACGCTTTCAAAATATCTATTGCAGGAAGTCGTAACAGTATAAAGGCAATACAGCATAAAATATCCAATATTTTTTTTTAATCAATAATTTAAAAAAGTTGTACCTAATAAAAAAATACGAATTTATGAAATGTTTTATTATTTCTAATTAATATTGCTAATAGTAATAAAGAAAATTGTTGGATATTTTGTGCTGTATCGTCTTTTTATACTGTTATGACTTCCTCCAATAGATAGTTTTAAAGCTCTCAGAACCGTACTTAGGAAAAATTTGAACGATAGTTAAAACAAACTAAAAAATTTTTTAATCGATTAAAATAGTAATATCATCTAATTCAGAATTAAAAATGACTTTAGATTTTGTTCTAGAAATAACAGCGACGTATTTAAAAAATTTACATGATGATGGTCCCTCGAAGACGAAACGTCGGATTGCAAAAATATTGACGCCATTGAATAGAGCGAAAAAAATGGCAATGTAAATATGCAGTTTTTTTTTAAATTCGTGTTCAAAAGCCAGAAAAAAAATAAAACGATTTTGCAAAATTTCGGGTTTTTCCGTATATCTCCGGAACTATCTGGAATTTTAAAACTTTCTAAACGGCATATTGTTAGGTATAAAAAAACACAACTTTTTTCTAATTTGAGCCACCCCGTATCTTTTACCGTTTCCTATGTACTAATGCTATCCCATCCT